TATTTTCCTTGCCCTTCTGTTATCTACTAAATAAAAGCCATACTTTGAAGTTATTATTCAAACTCTTTCCTAATGCAGCATCATACCCTCTCTTTCCCCAAACCCAACTGTTCAGCATTTCCAAATACTAGCCTTCGCCTGACCTTGGCCTTTGTTTATGCTAATTTTTCTGCCTGGAATAGACTTCTCTTTCTTTATCCATCAAAATCATACCAATTCTTCATGATCTCCTGAAATGCCACCACTTCCATGAAAAAGCTGAGCCCCTTCAGCTGGAACTCTGCAAGTCTAACAGCATTGTCTAGTCACACATATCTTAAAGCTTAATGACTACTTTATGTAATTATATTTATACCTTATAGCCACCTTAACTCTCCTCCTAGATAGAAAGCTGCATGCGGACAGAAACCATATCCCAGTTATCATTACATCCTCAAAATTACCTGGGACAAAGCCTTGCTCAAAGTATGTGCTAAATAAAGATTTGTTTAAATAAGTGACTACACAGCCCTAATTATTTTGTACAGGGGACCTAGTTTCTACTCATTAATGATTTTGTTTTTCCCTGAAGCTACTCCAATTTCGGTCCTATCTTTTTCTATATATGGAGCGCAAATTGCACACCATTTATATCTTAAACTACTGGGTTATTCCACAAAGACAAGGCAGGAAGCCTGCTTCCCGTCATTATTTTACCACCCTGGAGTTTGTGACTGCCATCTCTCCATTCACTTCTTCTAGTGATACCAGTCACACAGAGACAGGCAAATGAAAGGTCCTTGGTAAAAGAGGCTGGCCTTTCAAATGACAGGAAAACTGGCGGTGGAGAAAATTGGCAGAGATTTCTAGAAAGAAGAGGCAGGGTGACTTGCTGGGAAGCAAAGCCAAGCTGAGCTGCTGGTTGCTGTGGTCAAGGCCATGGACACAGTCCTGGGAGGGGCAGTTTTACTATCCTGGTTGCTGTTAGAATGTCAGGATGTGGAGGAGGGAATGCTAGCAACCCCCTTCCTACCTCTCCATTTTCTAATTCGCAACCCCCTTTCTACCTCTCCATTCCCTAATTCTTTCTTCCCCATTTCACTTTCAGGGCAATGCCTCTGAGCTAAGAGTTCAGACTAACAGATTGAGAGGGAACTTTGATGCAACAAGTTTGGACTTGTTAAAAAAAAATATGGAAGGCATATCCTTCTCATCAAGAAGGGCATGTATTGTAACTGTCCTTAAAGGAAGTGGTCTGTCTAGAGATTTCTTAAGCCAATTTGTCAAATATAAATACATGTTCTTACTCTCTACCCAATCTACTTCATGTTTCACATTTTTAAAGACAAAAAAATATGGATTTGATATGAAATATCCTATCATATGTCTATCATTCTGTTAAAAAACAAAGATGAAACTACGGTGGTTAAGGAGTCATGAACCTGACAAAAGCTCCTTCCAGTGGGAAAATTAAGATAAGAGCAGAATGCAATGGGTCAGCAAGAAAAGTCACCCTTGCACAGTAGATGTGTTCCAAGGTCCTAGGATGAGGAGAGAGGGGAACAAGTGATCTGTCAGGGCGTAGGCTTACACTCTTGTTGATAGTGATGGTTAAGGAAATGGAGCTAGCTCCGGAATAGAAAGCTAGAAACATTTTTCTGGAGAAAGGTCAATTTCGGAAAAGAAATAAAGAAAAAGAAAATTCACTCAGAAAGGTAAGATTTATCTGAGAGGGAAACACAATGGACCCAAAGGCTGATGATTCAACACACTGAAATTGATGCTGCAGAAGATCAACGACTACAACCTTCAAGACAGGTTACATTTCAAGCGAGCTCTGGTGGCCTAGTGGCAAGAGGCTGCACTGCAATCCCAGAGGTATATGGTTCAAATCCACCAGTTGCTCTGCTGGAGAAGGATGGGCCATCTCCTCCTGTACCAATCAGATCCAATTTAACGGTACATGCACAAAATAATAATTTTTATTTTTTTTAAAAAAAGACATTACATTTCAACATCAAGAAGATAAAAATCCTCACTACGCGGGAGCCCTAGTGGCCTAGTGGCAACAAGCTGCACTGCAATCCCATAGGTGTGCAGTTCGAATCTACCAGTTGCTGTGCTGGAGAAGGAGGGGCAAATTCCTCCTGTACCAGTCAGATCTGATTTGATGGTACACACAAAAAAAAAATTTAAAAATGAAATTAAAAAAACCCCTCACTCCTGGACCAATAAGCAATATCATAAATGGAGAAAAGGCTGAATTTGTCAGCTATTTCATCTTACTTGGATCCACAATTAACACTTTTAGTTCCAGTAGTTCAAGAGATGTATTGCACTCAGCAAGCCTGCTGTAAGAGACATCTTCAAATACTGAAGAGCACTGATATCAGCTTGAAGACTAAGATGCAATTCAGGTCATGATCTTTTCTTTATTTCTTTTTTGTTGTTGTTGCTGTTGTTGTGTGCCATCGAATCATATTTGAGTGGCATAGGAGATTGCCCCTCCTTCTCCAGCAGAGCAACTGGTGGATTCAAACTGAATGCTTTTAGGATTGCTGTGCAGCTTCTTGCCACTAGGCCACCAAGGCTGCCTGGTCATGATCTTTTCAATTATTTGTTATGCAACTGACAGCTGGACAATGAGTAAGATGACAGAATTGATGCCTTTAGAGCTGTGGTGTTAGAGATGAGTACTGAATATCCCATGGACTGGCAAAAGAACAAACAAGTCGTGGAGAAAGTGCAGCCAGAATGGAGACAAAGTTGACAAAGCTTCATCTCATATTCTGGGAATGTTGCTAAGAAAGGTTATCCCTTGGAGAAGGGCACCATGCTTGGAAAAGTACAAGGTCAGCAAAACAGAGAAAGACCCTAAGTGAGATAGACTGACCCAGTGACCGCAGGAATGGACTCTGGTGTTTCCAAGTTGATAAAGATGGAATAAGATAGGACAGGGTTCAGATATGTTATTCATAGAGTCTCTATGAGTCATACTCAACAGCATCTAACAACAATAACAATACAGAAAAAGCCAACAGAAGCTTGAGTTTGAGATTGTAATTATGGCAAACCACTTCAGGGTCTCTGGAGAGAAAGCTCACTGAAGGAATATACTAAAGCAATGGAATTGTATACTTTACAATGGTAAATTTGATGGCTTGTGAATTGTATTTCAATTAAAGGAGGGAAAAGTTACCAAAAAGTGCACTGGAGTAAAGAAAAAGTTAGGTGGGGGGAGAAGGGTCATTGAATTCAGAGATACCAAGCAAGTGCTTTTCTGTCTTTAATAGTCGCCACATGGGAAAGGGGTATTCCCTAAGACAGAAAAGGGGGCTCCTTTCCAGGGTTTTCACTTTGCACCTACTTCAACTGGGCTCATCCACTTGGGCCTCTCTGAAGGGTATGGTTTAAAAAAGCACATCCATTATTATTCTAAGTATTTCAGGGAAAAGGTCTAGGAGAGGGAAGCTATGAAGACGTAGACACTGCTCATTTTGGAAGGAAAAACCTTCCTGCTAAGAGCTGGGGGACTAAGAGTAAGAGTGTCTTCCTTATAATGTGCTGAGCTCTCCGGCCCTGGAAATATTCAGGCACAGACCCATGCAATCTTGCTGTCCAGGCTGAATGGGATCTTGGAGATGATGTGGACCAAATACCTTTTATGTTAGAAGCAGTTGGTTTTCCTTGATTCTCCGGCTACAAAGAGCCAAGATTGGAACCCAACTCAGCTCGAGTAGTTTCCATTAGAAGAGCTCAGGGCATAACTATTTCTTCATCCTGAACCAGCCTGATTTTCAAGACTGTCCTCTAATTAATTCCCTCTTTTTGACCACAGGAAGAGGGGAAGCACCACACCCAAGTCTGGGCTGAGGGGTTAACACTAATCATTCTGAAAAGGGCGAAGTAAAAAGCCAGAGCCCAGGTTCTGCCCCTCAGGCTTGGGAAGGGCATCTGCTAGTTTTGGAAGTTTCTCCACTCCTATTCCTGGGGATTACATTGACCTTTTAAAGGCCTTGAACTCAAGAGTTTAACTTTGCTACACTCTTCATCAGTAAATGAAAAATCATCACAGACAGCCACGCCTGTTTTAGTGAAAACAGAAAGAGACTGTTTGCCCCTACTTGGCCAGGAGGAAACTGAGGCACAGACATTTTAAGCAGCTTTGACTAGGTTAAAAAAAAAAAAAAAAAGGAATCCATTCTCGGTCTCTCTGGTATCGACTGTGTCCTTGAGCAGGGTCTGGAAAGTTTGGTACATTGGAGAGGGTTGTAAGGTGCTGGCTGCAGATAACCAACAGGAGGGTAGGTCAGGACTGGCTGAGAGGATGGTTCAAAGAAGAGAGGAAGGCCTGAAGAAAAGAAGCTGGAAAGGTGGTGTATGAGATGAGGGGGAGAGAGGGGGAGGAAAAGGGGTGTGTGTGTGTGTGTGTGTGTGTGTGTGTGTACAAGGGGCTGGAAAGGTGGTGTATGAGACGAGGGAAAGAGAGGGGGAGGAAAAGGGGTGGGTGTGTGTGTGTTAAGAAAGCAAGCCCCCAGCAAATGCAGCAGGAGAGAAAACTGAGACCAGCAAAGTTTGGGCCCCGCGGTTGGCAGGGGTGGATCAACTGCATCCCAGACACAAATACTAAGCCCGCGCGTGGACAGCGTTTCTCTTCCACGGTGCTGAAAAGTCTAGAGCTAAGGAGGTGTCCCAAGTTTCCACCAGCTCTTCCGCGGGCCAGGCAGGGAGCCCCACTGCTCTCAGATGGGAGAAGTGAGCAGCCCCTGAGATGTCCCGGACGCACATGGCCCGGTGGGCAGGCCCGGACTCCAAAACCCAGTGCTTGGCCCTACCAGTTCCCCCCAACCCCTTCCTCTCCGGGACTAGGCAACGGGGCGGCGCCAGACACCTGGAAAGGAAAACGAGTGGGGAACCAGGTCTGAGGATGAGAGGCGGGTCACCCCCCCCGCCCAGGGCGGGAGCGACGAAGCTGCTTCTTTACACCTCCGCCTCCCCCCTTCCCACCCGGCGCTACTTACTCTGGTTCAAGGGGTTCCCGCCGACCTGGGCCGACACCACCAGCTCCAGATAAAGAGTCCAGAGTCCCACGGACAGGAGAGCGAGCGCCAGCAGCAGCCGGAAGCGCCTCCGCAGTAGCTTGACCGGGCGCAGGAGCAGCAAGAGCAACGCGGCCCGGGGGCTCCCCATGGCGCTGCGCGGACGCGGGCGCCGCCAGCGCGGGCTGCTCCCCACCCAGCCCCCGCCCCACCTCCCGGCCCAGCGCCCTGGGCGCACCGAGTCCCAGCCCCAGCCCAGCGTCTCAGGGCTGCGCCGAGACCGTCTTCCCCCGCCGGTCTCCAGCGAGGCGCAGGATCATGCTCCGTGCGCAATGGGTGCTTCGGGCTGTGCGGGCGCCCTCGCCGCCTCTCAGGTCCCTCTCCAGGAGCAGAGCCCGGCTCCTCCTCCCGCCCAGTGTCCTCCGCTCAGCTCTCGGCTGTCCTCTCCACGCCTCTCCTGTTGCAGCCTCGCGGTCTCCCTCCCTCCCTGCTGCTCGCTCTTACAGACAACCCCCGAAGAAGGATCTCTGGTTGCCCACTAGCCTCTCTCTCTTCCAGCCTCCTCTAGCTCGGGCTTTTTTCTCCCAGCTCTGGGCACAGCCGCCCGCCCCACCTGTCCCGCCCACGCTTGGGCCCCGCCCCTGGTGCACAGGTGGGCTCCGCCCTTGAGACACTAAGAGCTGGTGCTGACCTACCTGGGGTAGCAAGAGATGGAGCTGGAAAATTAGTTGTTAGCTGATCACTGATACCCGCCACCTGAAGGGAGTATTAGAATCTGAACTCTGTATGAACCGAAGGACTGGACGGTCAGACACCGAGGCACTTGCTTTTTTCAAAGCAGACGCGGAGGCTTGGAAACTGGATTTCTGCTGGGGTGACATTGAAGGCTTTGGCAAGGAGAATTTTCATGGCTTTCACTGTCCCTATTCCCTGCTTTAGATGGCAAGAATAGCAATGCTATAATTTGGGGAAAGCGTTGAATACTTCATTCTTTCTGGTCATGTTTGAAGATGGTCATTCCCAACTTCAGTCACGTTTCAGAGGAACAGCAAGGAGGTTATTTGGCCCTCAGGAATGTTAAAAACCCAAGTGCCTAGAGAAATACAAAACATTAGAGTAACACGACTTATTTGTTATGAATGGTTTTGATTTGAATACTGAATCAATCTAAATATATTGAGAAGGTGTTCAGGAGAAAGGACACTGAAAGTGGCCACTGTAGGTCACTGTGCTCTCAGAAGATAGCATCAAAATATGTGCTCAGTGCCAGGCTATTGGAGAAACAGAGGCACACATTTCCCAGTCAGATCAGGAGGTGCCTGCTGTGGAAACTTGCAGCTTATAGATAATTCTATAGAAAACCCCAAAGCCTGAAACAAAACTATATCTGCTAAGTAGCTTACTAACTAAGGATACAGGATGGGTCACCCAAGTTCATGAACCCAGAAATCTGGATTAGAGGAGAATAAACATGGTTTTGTTAGGACAAAGGAATTTTTCCCATGTTTCTGCTGTTATGTGCTGTTGTGTCAACTGCAACTCATAGTGACCCTATGCCCCATAGCACTGAACTCTACCCTGTCCTAAGGCTGTCTTCCTATTTCCAATACACTTGCCTCTCTTATCCCAATTATTGTGTCAATCTATCTCATCCTGGGTCTTCCTTACTTGTGCTGTCTCTCCATCCTTCCAAGCATGAATTTTTTTCCAAGGATTGGTCCTTCCTTGTCATGTGCCTTAAGTGTGTGAGGCAGAGCTTCAAAATAATTGCCTCCAGGGAACAGCTTGGCTTCACCATCTCCAGGACAGATCTGTTTGTCCATTTGGTAGACCATGTATGTTTTTGCTCTTCTCCAGCACCACAACTCTTCCGTCACCTCGACTTTCTCAGCATCAATTCTTCTCCTGTCATCCTTATTCATTGTCCAGCTTTCTGATGCATAGTTGTTGTTTGTTGTTGTTGTTATGTGCCGTCAAGTCGCTTGCGACTCATAGAGACCCTATGTACAACAGCCCTAAACTCTGCTCTGTCTTCTGCCAATCGTACTGTCTCTGACACACCCATCCCGATTACCCGATTACTGAATCAATCCACCTCATAGAGGGCCTTCCCCTCCTGTGCTGTCCCTTCACCCTCCCAAGCATGATGTCCTTCTCCAAGGACTGGTCTCTCCTCAAAACATGTCCAAAGTATGTTAGACAGAGTCTCAGAATCCTTGCCTCCAAGGAGCCACCTGGTTTAACCCTTTCCAGGATGAATCTGTTTGTTTTCCTAGCAGTCCATGGTACTCTCAATACTCTTCTCCAGCACCTCAGCTCAAAGGCATAAATTCTCCTTCTATCCTCCTTGGTCATTGTCCAACTCTCTGATGCATAACAAGTGATTGCAAAGACCATGACCTGTATCCGACGCACCTTAGTCTCCAGAGAGACACCACTGCTCTTCAGTACCCTGGAGAGGTCCTAAACAACAGGCTTTCCCATGGCAATGCACCTTTTAATTTCCTGGCTACTGGTGCCAAGAGTGTTGATTTTGGAGCCAAGCAAACTAAAGCTGTGAACAATGTCAATCTCTTCACCATCCATCCTGATGCTGCTAATTGGCCCAGTGGTGAGAATCTTTGTCTTCTTGACATTGAGCCTCAATCCATATTGGAGGCTGCAGTCCTTGACCCTCTGCAGCAAGTGCTTCAGGTCCTCCTCAGTTTCAGCAAGCAGGGTTGTGTCATCTGCATGATGCAGACTGTTGATCTTCCACCAATCTTGACCCCACATTTCTCCTCATAGAGCCCAGCCTCTCGGATAATCTGTTCTGCATATAGGTTGAAAAGCTATGGAAACGACGCATCCCTGGTGTATACCCTTCCCAATTTTGAACCATGCAGTGTTCCCTTGCTTTGTTCTGACGACTGCCTCCTGGTCCAAGTATAGGTTTCGCATTAGAACAATCAAGTGTTCTGGGATTCCCATTCTTCTCAGAGTCAGCCACAGTTTGTTATGATCCACACAGTCAAATGCCTTTGCATAGTCAATGAATCACAGATAGACATTCCTCTGGTATTCCCTGCTTTCAGCTAAGATCCATCTAACATCAGCTACAACATCTCTAGTACCACAACCCCTTCTAAACCCAGCCTGGATTTCTGGCATTTCTCTGCTGATGTGCTGTTCCAGTCGTTTTTGGATAATCTTCAGTAGAATCTTGCCTGCATGTGAAATCAATGAGGTTGTTCTATAGTTTCCACACTCTGTTAGGTCACCTTTCTTTGGGATGGGAACAAATATAGATCTCTTCCAGTCAGTTGGCCAAGTGGTTATTCTCCAGATTTCTTGGCACAACTTGGTGAGCACATCCAGGACAGCATCTGTTAGCTGAAATACGTCAATTGGTATACCATCTATTCCTGGGGCCTTATTTTTTGCCGTTTCCTTCAAAGCAGCCTAAACTTCTACTTTCATCATCATAGACTCTTGATCATATGTTATTTCATTAATTTCTTCTGTCTGCCAATTCCTTTTCGATACATAGTTAGGAACTGCAAAGACCATGGTCTATGTCAGGTACACCTTAGCCACTAGACTGATATCATTGCTCTTTAGTGCTGGAGAGAGGTCCCTGACTAGTTTTTCCCAAAGCAATTCCTCTTGTGATTTCCTGACCACTGGTGCCAAGGGTGTTGATTGAGAAACTAAATAAGCTGAAACTATTAACATTCTCAATCTCTTCTGCATCTGTCACAGTGCCACTGATTGGCTTAGTGGTGAGAATCTTAGTCATCTAGATATTGACTTCAATCCGTATTGAAGACTGCAGTCCTTGAACTTCTATAGCTTCTACAGTTTCAACAAGCAACGTTGTGTCATCGCACAAGTTGTTGATGAGTCTTCCTCCAATCCTGATGCCACATTCCTCCTCATTGAGTTCAGTCTCCCTGATAATCTGTTCTGAATATAGATCTAAAAGGTATATAGAAAGGGCACATGCCTGACACACTCCTTTCTTGATTTTGAAGCATGTAGTGTTTCCTTACTCTGTTCTGATGGCTGCTTCCTGGTCCAAGAATAAGTTTCACATGAGCACAATCAAGTGTTCTTCTCAAGGTTAGCCACAATCTGTTGTGATCCATGCAGTTAAATGCCTTTTAATAGTCAATGAAACACAGCTAGACGTTCCTCTGGTACTTTCAGCCAAGATCCATCTAACATTGGCCATGATGTCTCTAGTGTCATTGTCTCTTTTAAACCCAGCTTGCAATTCTGATAGTTCTCTGTCAAAATATTGTTCGTCATTTTTTTTTCCATAATCTTCAGTAAGATTTTGCTTTCATGTGATATTCATTATATTGTTTGATAATTTCCACATTCTGTTAGATGACCTTTTTTTGGGTTTGGAATAAATATGAATACCTTCCACTCAGTCAGCCAGGTAGTTGTCCTCCAGATTTCCTGGTACAAGCTGCTATGCATGTCCAGGGCTGTATTTGTCTATTGAAATATATCAGTTGGTATTCTATCAATTCCTGAGGCCTTAATTTTTGCCATTTCCTTCAGAGCAGCTTAAACTTCCTCCTTCATCACCATATGCCTTCATCAACATATGCCTTCTGATCATATATTGTTTCATTAAATTCTTCTAGATCAGCCAGTTCTTTCTGGTATTGTGAATCTGTATACTCCTTCCATATTCTTTTGATGCTTCCTGAATCACTCAATATTCTTCTCATAGTATCTTTAAGGATTGCCACTCGAAGCTTGAATATATCTTTTGGTTTCTTCAGCTTAAGAAATGCTGGGTAATTGCTCATTTCATTGTAATACTTTGCTTTGTCTTCCTAAGCTTTTGAAATCTTCTGTTTAGCTCCTTCACTTTCTGATTTCTTCCTCTTGTTTTGGCTTCTCAGTGTTCTAGTGCAATATTCAGAGTCTCTTCTGACATTCATCTCCATCTTTTCTCTCTCCCGTCTTTTTTAATGACCTTTTACATTCTTCATGGATATTTTTTATATCTTTCCACAGCTCATCTCATCTTCATTCATTACTGTTCATGGCCTCACACCTGTTCTTGGGATGGTTTTTTTAATTTAGGTAAGATAAGCTCAAGGTCAAATTTTGGTTCTTGTGGATTTGTTCTAATTTTCTTTAGCTTCAGCT